AAGCTCGGACGTTAATTTGCGGTTGTCTGCAGCTCGTGCGATTCCATGCTGGCGTATCAGTTCGAGTGTTTCTGGAGAGAAACGTCTCTTGGTGACTTTCGACTTCTCAGGTTTCATAGCGCTAACGTGAAGATGTTGAATGAGCCGATCGTATTCTTCGTCGATGTTATCGACAGCGGTATGTTCCTAACAGCCGAGTAATGAATTGAATAAGTCCCAATTTGCGGTGAATCTGGGACCTTGGTTTTCGGCTTTTTTAGCGGCTTTTTCTCCCTTCTGCGAGAAATAGAATTATGCGCGAAGGAGACGATGGTCTGATCCCATGTAGAATTTTGTGACAACAGCGACATCGGCTAGATAAAACCTTCTATTTACTATGATGTGGTTCATTTCGTTATGGTACTCTCCATTGGGAGAGGCCCACGTCCAGCACTGAGGATGGGGCTTTTGGAATTGCGAATTACCATGGATGATCTTGGTCGTCGTGATAAACATAGAGATCCGCTCACCCTATTCGTTCCATTTTAATCCAGAATGTGACGTTTTTCAGACATTCTTCTTGGTCCGATCTTGGCGATGAAATCTCCAATGATGACCGTGAAAAATGTGTGGTCTTCTCTGTAGAACTTCTCCAAGTCCATATAGAACGCTTCGACTTCTTCTTCGTCATAGTTTGATGTTGGTGCGTAAACGACGAAGATTGTTAAAGTCGCAATTGATCCACATCTCTCCGTCGTAAACATCCGATTCGGGTTGTAAGTTGTTCGAATGAATCGATGTCCATGGACAAACTCGTGTTGACGAGTACGCCGAAGCTGCCGACTCGTCTACTGTCGTATGCTCCAAGGAACAGTTCTTCCCCGTTGTCATAGACGGTGTTGAAAGGCTGGCACCTTCTCGTCTCGGCCTAGCCGATGACATCGTACCTTATTCTTCTTGCTTGCATGAGCAAGTCTTCTATCGAGGAGTCGGATGCAAGTGTACGTGCATTGTAAGTACAGATCGTCACCATAGTTCTTTGAAATCCAGGCAGCTTCCATTGGCCCTGAGATTTTAGCAGCCCTCCGTACTCGTCCTCCTCAACGGTGCGAAATTGGTGGCTCTTTCGGGGTCAGGGGAATGAGGCCCGTTTTTTTTTTACTGTGTTTAGCATTTTTGATACCCACGTATAGCTTGCTGGGCTCTGAACGTGGGAGCTGGGTATACTCACGGGTAGCTTGCCAGGCTTTCCGAGAGGGACATGGAGCTTATTTGTTGGAGGCGACTCCTAACCGGCTCCGATATACTTCCCACTCGCTTGATTGCAGGCTTTTGGCCGAATTGACTCGTAGAATACAATGCGCATAGGAGCCATACCCTGGTTCCACCTGCGTCTCAGAAAAGCAAAGGTCGCTTGTTGTTCGCGATTAACCTCCTATCTACCACCTGGGGACGTGCAACGTAGCCTCGCGATTAACCGGCTCGGGTTTCCTCATATGAGGGAGATCCGTGGGTCTCGATGCATCAATAAGCCACCATAAGCCATTGTCTTGACCAAATTATACATTCGCTAAACTCTATTGATGTTTGGTGAAGTCGAATGTTGGTCGCATTCTTGAGGAATTAATCAACACCTACGCTGAATCAATTTTCTTTCAACGTTTTATGTTCTATACTTTAGTTGTAAGGTGAATATTTATTTGTGCCCTTAATCGCTTGAAGGTCACAACACATTGATTTTATTGGGATGATGTCTTTAGTGTGCGTCTTTAGTGTTATCTAAAGAAAAAAAGGAAAAGAGTTTCTGAGTTCAAAACCAGGAAAGAATTTCTGAGATTAAAATTAACTCTTTGTTTTACACAAGCCTGATTTCATGTATCTTACTATTGATTTACGTAAGAGGAAAAACATTGATAATTCTGGACTGAGCGATTCAACTCGGTGTTAAGCACTGCTGTCATGAACTACTTGAGCAGAACCGGTCCTGTGCATCACAGTAGTGTGAAAGCCGAGACAGTTCTTCTCATATGGATAGATTTTTCTCCTTTTTCTTTGTATCCGTAAATTTAAAATAGTTCAGGTTTGGTACAGCACCTCTAGAATATTTTTCAAGCTCACCTCAACCACATTATGAGTTCGATTTTGATCACCGAGGAATATCTTCTCTCCATCGCTTAACCATCGCGTAACCTTATAGATTTGGATCTAAAATTATATTTAATTAGTGGATAAATACTCACCACTAGCACTCAACGTAATAAACTTTACACTAGTAGTGAAGCTGCTTTAACAACAAAAGGATGATTACAAGTAAAGTTGATCTGCCATAAGGCTATGAAGGCTATAAACTTTCCTATTGAACTATGAATTGAATTCAACTGGCTGAAATTGAAGCACCGTTCTGTTTATTGTATCGTACTGACGCGAGTCGAGTGGTTACATAATTCACTACCCTTACAGGAGCGCTTGCCGCCTTGGAAGAGCTCGAACTGGACGTCTTCACATCTCGCCGTGATAGACGTTGGCCAGCGAATGAGTGCAGAATACTGGGAACGCTCAGTTAGTGCTGTCTAGAAATCAGGGATCACAAAAAGAAATCGCTCATAGTCAGCGTTTAGCAAGTTGGTGGGAAGACCAGACGACAAATGGTAAACCGCAGCTCTATCATACTTGAATCCTACAACTTTCATGGATGACTCCAACATGCCGAGACGAAACGGATGACTGTTGAGACCTGCACTCCATATGAAAACGTATCTAAGTAAAGAGAAGTCATTTATCATTCGACAGAACTATGGGCGTTTTCCAAAAAAATATCGACAAGGTGAGAATTTACTGTTTTTCTTGTTGATCAAACACTAGGTTGTTATTCCAGCACTTACTAATTAAAACCAGCTGACATTTCCACGGTCTCACCTTCTCACCTTTTTCAGAATCTGCAAAGGTCAATTGACATGTAATCTGTTCAGCCAAACACTTTCATTACCTCAGCAGACAAAACTTAATACATAAATTTTTTATTCCCATATTAAAAAGGGCGCGTGTGACGCAGTGGCTGGAGGTGCCACTGCGACACACACGTGGAATCGATCTGTGCGCCCACGGCCCACAAAGCCTTCCATCCCTTCGGGGTCGGTAAATTGGCACCGGACTTGTCTGGGAGGATAGCAGCGCTGGCTCGATACATCGGTAGGCCACCGCGAGTCATTGAAAAGGCCAGATATGCACCTTGAGCGATGCTTAGTGAAGTCGAATGCATGGCGCACCACACAGGAAATGATCAACATCGAGAGCTTTATCCTTTATTGTAATAAACAGCTTTTCTTAAACACTCACCATTTTGGTCATTGTAGGTCTTCCAGTAATTTGGTTGAGAGCGGCCACAGAGAGTAAGGGTAAGGAATATTCCTGGCTCGGGTAAAGGATCAACCTGAAGTATGGCGCAAGCTCACGTGTGATCACAAATACTCCTCCTTGAATATAATGCTGAGATGCAAAGCTGAGAGACAGGCAAAGCGAACAACCCGGATGGTGTGGTGGTGAAGTGCGCAACTCCCCGGGTAAGGACAATAGCGCGTTCGTTCCGCACCGCATACACCTGCGGTCCGGAGTTTTGCAAATATCTCAGCTTTATATACGAGTTATATTTGGCAACATACCCTGCCATTAAAAAGAAAAAGGCAGTAAATAAAAGAGTTAAGATTGTGATTACTCCTCTTTGAGTTTCATTTTCGGGTGCATGGAATTTCTCCAAAGCGCCTCAACAGTTTTACGCGGTTCGGTTTAGGATTACTATTGCGAGGTTAGCGACGAGGTTAGTGACTTTTGCTTCAAATTCTTTTCCGTTAAGTTCCCTCGACATACATGAATCCTACGCACACTGCTGGACGAGGTTGTTTCATTCGAGCAGTGCTCCCATCGAAGAATGTCCGGCTTCATGTGATTACGAAGACATCACGTTGAAAATACGAAGGACTGTGGACGTCGACTCAAATCATCGGCCGTTAGGAACACGAAGACATCGAAGCGCTAACTGGACGAGTTTATTCATCAACCTCGTGTTAGCTTTTCAGTGAAAGAAAAGGCAAGCTTTCAGAAGAAGCTGTTCATTTTGCGAACAGAAAAATTGCGTATTAAGTTTTACCCGCAGATGTTATAAAAGTGCTTGACAGAGAAGATTGCATGTCAATTTGATCTTTCTTTTTTCACATGGTGCACAATGATATCTACTGTGCGGGTCTCAGCTTTACTTGTACTCGATTCGTTTTTCATGCACGTTTTCTTTAGGAATGTCGTGGAAGGGTTATTGAGTCAATTTTCATTGTAATCTTCGAGATAGCTTTAGTCGTTTGGTTCCTGATCGATGGCACCACTAACTACTGCTCAAACCCGCTTCATTCTACATTTCTAGTCTCTGGGTTAGGCGAAACCGCCGAAATGTCAACTATTGCGTATTAATAAATGCTGCAATGACAACCTGGCGTTCGCTTATCAAGAAAAACAGTGGATTATTGATTAGGCCCGAGGTTAGAAGAAAGTCGATCTAGGGAGGCAATAATATTAGACGTACCAGAGCTGCGCCCTTCATCAAAAGCAGAATTGAGAATGGCGTGTTGAAGCTTAACTGGAGGGATAAAGAATTGAAGCAAGTGGAAAAGGCCGAGAAGTTTTTTTGCCAAAGCTATATAGATGATTCGTTGTGATTCAGAAAAGACGTCAGCTACACGAAGGAGAATTAATGAAGCTGTAGGACATATTGAATTTTGTCACTTTTTTATATTGTTATAGCAATAAAATAGCCAAAGATTTCGCAGATTTAAAAGATCTGTGCAAAGTGTTCTGCGAAGAATAACTGACGTTGCCCATCACGTTTGCACCGCATTCATTTACGGTCGAAGAAACAAAAACAACAAAAAAAACAAAAGCAATACAAAAGCCAATAATCGATATTGACCGACATGATTCATATGGTGATTAGACGTTTAAATAAAGCCAGAAAACGCTGAAAATTTTAGCGAAAATTACTGTTGGGGTCCTTGAAGATGTTTTACCTCCCAATGCCAATTGCTGTTCATCAGCTTCGTGTAGTACTTATCATTGCCGGATGCGCAAAGATCTTCTACGAGATGAGCAAGCCCATCTCGACCTGTTGTTGAAAAGTGAAAGTTTCCGCCAGTCTGAAGAGTAGCTGAATTTTTTCATGAAGGAATAAAAATTTTAAAGCCGGAAAAAAGCTAGGAAGAAAGGGCAAGTAAAAAATGGAAATGAGAACAGAAATGAAAGTACCTGCTCTGGGTGATTATGTGTATTGACGACGATTAACATTTTTTTGCGGATGATGTTCTGCATTTTTATATAGTGATAGACATTTCCATTTCCACAGCCAGTATCAATCAACAGCGCTAAAAAGGCGTATTCTTAGCCAAACCCGTTGAGGTCTTCTCTTCAGAAATTTACTAGAATTTCAGCATAGTGGATGTCAAGGCTTTCTAAATAATGTACTCAAATAGAAAGAATTCCTAACATTTCTTTTCACTCAACCCGACGTCACACATTGTACGAATCCCATAATTCCCTTTTTTTCAATTCTTTCCTCATATTTATTATTCAAGGAAGAAATTTGATTATGAATGTGTATTCGGCTGCTGCTCATGGATTTTGTTCATCTTCATGAATTTCGCTAATGCTCTTTGAGTGGATTCTGTCTGTAATCCTACGACGTATCCAGACTTTGGATCGAATTCAGTCCTTATCTTGCTAGGTCTGGTGATCTTTTCCAATCTCGTAGGGCTTGGTTGACCTGGTGCAGGGTCGAATCAGGCTTAGGACGCATTAATATAAGGAATCTTTATCAGCACGCTTTGCCCACACTATGCATGTTTGTTAGTAAATACTTGATACTTGATACTTGAATGGCCTGCCCTCAGTGGTTGTGGGGGTCCCAGCATAAGCTCCATTTTTCGGAGATTTGCTGGCTAAGCTATTATGGCTCCCTGGAGTCCCGAGGTCAGCCTGGCCAAAGTCTGCTCCAGGTCTTCACCACCATAGGCAGTTGCAGCTCTTGTGGATCAGAAAGAGATTGGCCACCATGCGACTATACCAGGACGGTGGTGGATTCTGGTATTGGTTTACTCTTAGCTAGGCTTCCTGATGGAAACGCCGGACTCCTTCTCAGCTTGGGTGACCTTACCAGGAGATCAATCCTTTCTGCACATCGCAGTCCGATACCCAGGAACACCTCCCAGCCACGATGAGGCGGTAAACCTTGGAAGGTTGTTATTAAACAAGGCTAAAAAAATAGAGCTCTCGGCATTGATCAATCCCTGACTGATACGCCATGAATTCGACTTCATGAAGCATCTTTGGTGGTAAATGAATTCACATCTGGCCCTTACAATGACTCGTGGTGGCTTACCGATATATCGCGCCAGTGCTGCTATTCTCCCAGACAAGTCTGGTACCAATTTGCTAAACCTTGAGGGGTGAAATGCTTGGTGAGCATGCGCCGCGGAGATCGACCCCATGTTTATTGCTGGGTGCCTCCGACCATTGCACTACATGCGCTCTTATGTTTATGATATGGTGATACTAAAAATATAGGCAAATACCACTAGGCTTTAAAAATTCTATAGTATAACTGACCTTTTTCATCACCGATGATAAGATATGAGATCGGAAAGCATCCACGAATGTCTTCTTCAAGAATTGTCCATACACTATCCGATATTTGAGTAGATTGAAATGTCATACTGAATGAAGATAAATTATGCGTCCACATAAAGCATTTTAAGAAAAAAGCTTGACGAAGTATAAAAGATTCTCCTTGGAAAAACAGACTTAGATGGTGAAGTGGAACTGGACAAATTTATTATTGTGAGCTACTCGCTCTATACCCACTGCGAAGATATGCATTAGTAATTAGGGCGGAGGGATGGATAGCAATGAACTCCATCATCGCTTCGTATAATTTCCAAATACTATATAGAAGAATATTTTAATACATCGAATATATCAATAGAATGTCGATTTCGATTATTAGCTCCAAAAAGGACGAAGATGTAATATGACAATTTCAAGCACTCATCCATCTGTTCTTGTGTGGAACAACACACATATATGTGAACTTCGTAAGAATTTCTTCTGATGAAGCAGTCTTCTATCTATTGACAGTAAAGTAAAATCCGGCGATCGAGAACTGGAGCTTCCACCTTAGACATGAACGCGATGGCAAGAATTGGTGCCAACCGCTGTCCCATTGCCAACCCTCTAATTTGTGCAAAATACTTTCCAGATCACCTAAAGATTGAACAACTAAGACACTGTTTTAAGAGACTCATTAGTTGTGTAATTGACAAGCCGTACATTTTTATTTTCTTTTCATGTTCAACGAGCAGCTCAAGAATGGCTTGCATTGTGGAGTCTTTCGACACGTTGGTATAAAGTGAAGTAACATCGAATGACTCCATTACATGCGAGCTACTTGGTTGCTTGCACTATAGGTGATCTGGAAATATTTTGGTATTAGGTAAATGGATAGGAATAATTTTCAGCAGCTACGTCACGATAAGGTTTAGGAGCCACGCTATTCTCTCTGTCTGCCCACCTATACAAATGATGATTGGTCTAATTTTACATGATGACGGATCGATGGACGCAAGGTCATCAGTTGAAGTAAGCTTATGTGTTTTAATAAGCAAATAAAAGACAAGGCAAATTGGATGTTCGTTTTTAAGTCCAGAAATAACTGAAAGCTCTAAGCCCACGGCCTTTGCCGTGTTGACCCATTCTTGATTTAATTTTCAGTATTAATTGCTACATTCATTTCCTTTCAGAGGATGTTCGATAGAGAGAAAAATCATTGAGATGCTCCTCTGTTATTCTAATATCCAACTGACTAGGAATAGCTACAGATTCTCCACCTTTATCACTAATAAAAAGTCTAGCAGATTTTGGATTCAAGAGGTCTCTAACCTGGCGCATACCACATTTTTTTTGTGTGTGAGGTTGGATCTTAATTTTCTTTGTTGGTGCTGCTTAGGCATGCAGACAATTTCGTCCAAAAATAAACGAAATGCGGAGTCAATGTCGCTATTTGGTGGCTTTTGCGTAAAGAAAGCTAGGGGAAAAGATATTGGCAGTATTACCTCCCCTGGCACTTTTTACTTAACCTTTTTATCCTAGCCCTATAGCGCAGCTGGTCTTGAGGTTCATGCAGACTATACGTGATCCTGCGTAGGATCGGTTTAGAAATAGGTTCACTAGGTGAAAAATCGGACCCAATTCTAACAGTAATCGCGTATTTTCCGGGAGCGTTGTGCCGCCTAACACAGCAACTTTGGGTGATTTTGGTGCGCACTTTATTGTAGGGTTATTAATCAAAACTTCACGAGCGGTGGCTCCTTGTTTGATCTTTGTGGGCGGCGTGATAGATCCTCAAACTTTTTTCTTAACTTGCTCTTAGCATCACACCGAATCTTTTCGCAAATCGATATAGACCCAGCTACTATCCTATTCCAAAGATTCCTTTCCAAATACTGAGCACGGTGGTTTTCTCTGCACACACATTTGTTTAGTAGTGAAAACATTTCGTTTTGTGTGCACTGCAGTGAAATGCGTAATAATTTTATTTCGATGCTCAGCATTTGTTGAGAATTCTCGGATAAGCCGCATACTTCTTGTAACTTCCGATGTCTCGTATAGTTAGGAATAATTCGATATTTTAAGCAGCAGTGGAGAAAGTGGGTATTTTGTCGCATTAAGACGTTTTTTTGTCTTCATGACAATATCTCCCTTACAAGTCGGAAATGTTTTGCTGGCATTTCTCTTAGTAGCTCAAACATGTACCGAACGGCTAAAAATGTGTGCACAGGAGAAGAGGAAAGGAAGGAATCGCTACAGCTGGCACGAAAAATAGCAATTCCTAATGGCTACGAAGTGGAAGCCACTCGGGTCAGACAAAAACGTAGGCTTGTTCCCCAAAATAATGCTTCGAACATAAGTGAAATCGCCTTTAAGCTACCCTTCATATCAAATGAAATAAGTGACGCCCTAAAGAGATGCTTAAGAAAAAGTGGTCTAGAAAATTACGTGGCGATTCCCAAGACCCACTTTCTGTTAACCTCGGCATTGATTGATAATTCGATGTTTTTCTTCAATGAGCAGACACGAGGTTGTTATTATAGAATTTATTAGGATACAATAGCTGACGTTTCGGCGGTTTCGCCTTGTTCAGAGCCTGGAAAGGTCAAATTGAAATGCGATCTACTCAGCCGAACACTTTCATAACTCCAGCAGATAAAACTTAACAAATAAATTTGTATTCGCATAAGAAACAACTTCACTTAAACACCTACCGTTTATTTGTTGTCAGTACTTAAGTTAGTTGATGGATGGCAGCTCCACAGAGTAACACATTGGCGAGGACTGTGCCTGTGTCAGGTTATTGGATTAGCCTGAGGTATGGCGCTAGGTCACGCGTGATGACAACACACTCCTCCTTGCGGTTCATTTTTGAATTTTTTGAAAAATTTTGCTTGTTGAAGAAAAACATCGAATTATGTGGCGATTATTGATCACCCACCCAATACCCCATGCCGTCAGTCCGCAACCGCCTCTGTGATCATTTGTGCAGTTCAGAAAACTGTATGATCTGTCCTAACAATATAGACGGTGATTTCATGAGTTCAGGTAGAGTATATCTGATCTTGCGTAGATCATGTGGTGAGGATACATTGGGGAAATGGGTACGCTTTATGTTCGCATAAAAAACACCCAGACCGGAAAGTCAAAATTCGTCAAATCCCTCTTCTCCTCAAAGGTACACGTAGGGTACGAAATCACAATGGCGATGATTTTCAACTGAATGTTCTGATCCTAGCGCAGGAATCGAGAGTATCAACACGCAAGACCCTTGAGGCGTTTTGGATAAATTTAGAAAATCTAAAGATAAACCAGAAAAACGAATGCCTCACTATCACACGTAACCTGCGCCTTATTTCGAAATTATATTTTGACCCTTGGGTGGGTCTCTCTAGCCTTCCCACGTGAACAATGCGCGGGAAGCCCCACTCATAACAGCATGGTGAGTAGCCTTTTTGCTCAATATGGCGTTTATTTGAAACTTTGATCTTCATTAATACTATAATTACTATGTATTCTTTTTTGATAAGCTTGCACGAGGTTGATAAATATATTTATTTTCGGCTAACGTTTCGACGTCTTCGTCTTCCTCAGAGCCGGTGATCCGAGTCGATGGTCCATGCTTGCTGCTCGCCTCGACGTTGCGTCTTCGCCTTCGTGTCGAGCCAGATCTTCCTCAGTGAGCCATCTTCTCGAATGAGGCATCCTCACTCAGTGATGCCCTTTCATACACGGTGCTGATGGTGGATATATAATGACAATGTCCGGTGGTAACAACTTGTATTTCTTCCGGACATACATCATTACCGAAAATGAGGAAGACGAAGACATCGAAACGTTAGCCGAAAATAAATATATTTATCAACGTCGTGCAAGCTTATCAAGAAAGAATACATATTGATTAGTCACACCGAGGTTTAGGGAAGGTCAGTTTCGAAATATTACTATAATTACTTGCGTAATTTGCCCTTACGGCAGGGACGGTGATTGCATGAGCTCAGGTACGATATACCTGATCTCGTGTAACAATTGCGGAGATGAATATATTGGCGAAACGGGCAGACCTTTGTGTATCCGTATAAAAGAACACCTAGATGGCAAACGAAAACTAAGACGAAGCACCCCACTAGGCACGCATAGGATACAAAAGCATAGCGGAGACGATTTTGAAGTGAAAGTCAATATCCTTGCACAGGAGTCCAAAACACCAGCGCGAAAACTCCTTGAGGCTTTTTGGATCAATGCCAAAAGCCCTACAATGAATAGCAGGGACGAATGCCCGGAGATCATACGCGACCTGATCTCGTACGTTCGCATCGATTTTTGATGTGGGATGGTGCAGTCGTCAACCACATGCGACTATAATCAGCTGTTCTAAACTTCCTCATTGGAAGTCACGAAAAAGCGGTGGGTTTTTCGAGAAGTTGTTGATTGTGTAATTACCGGAGAGTTCTTCGTCTTTTTGTAAGTGTTATTGAAGCGTTTGGCCTAGTAGATTATATATCAGTATACCCTTCCAGGCTCTGAAGAAGGCGATACTGCCGAAACGTCAGCTAGCGTTGTATTGTATTGTGTTTTTATGGAAGTAAATGTATGCTGTTTAAAAACCTCGCGATTGCTGAGCAAGAAAACGACACATTCATATTCCAATGCCGAGGTTAAGAGAAAGTCGATCTTGGGAACTATAATTACTCTTCCAAATATAGGATAACTGTTACATAAAATACTTCTATGCTCTGAGGAAGGCGAAATGGCAGGAACGTCAGCCATCGACCAACGACACAAACAGCAACGACAACAACAACAACAACGGCAACGAAGACCTGCACCAATCAAGCATCAGCTCGAAAAGATCAGTTTATAAAAAATTGTGATTTTGACTGCGGGTTCAGCTTAATTCGGTTGTATGCCGATTTGTGCAGCCTAGATCATTTCCATCGACCTGTGATTGCTAATAGCACCGTTAGGATAAGAAAAACTGACTGAGAGGAGGCAAAGCAATGGACACGGTTCTGTGGTGGCTAGAACGAGAGCTCCCGAAAAGGGTGATCACGTGTTTGAAGCCCAGCTATGGTCCTTTCATATCTCAACATTCTTGTGGTTTTACTTCACATAAAGCAAAAAGTTGTTTAGAGGAAAGAAAGCAACATGGGCATCGTCATTTCCGAAAATGCAGCCATCATCTGACGCAGACAAGGCTCCTGTTCAATTTTATCAACTCATCTCTTTTACTGAGGCTGGCCTGTTGCTAGCATTATGGGTGCATTTTCGAAAATGATGATACCCATGCTGCTTTGAGCACTTGAGCGATGTCTTCGGAAATATAACCGGCGCTCTCAATATCTAGCCGGAATGCGAAGCTCTGACCTTCGAAGTCTGTCACATCTTCGAGATCCAGGAGAATATACATCGACAGCGAAACATAGATGGGCCGGTCACATAATGAAAAGAACAGACGACAGATGAACGGAAAGGACAGTGGAGTGGACTCCAAGAGAATTCAAACGTCCCCTTGGACGACCACCTACACGTTGGGCGGACGTGTTCATAAACAAAGTTAATCAGCTGTACCCGCAGCTGCAGTTGTTTTACAGATCACAGTATGAGACTCGAAAGCGCTACCATGCTCGAACAAAACCATCACTATGGACTACGATTGCGAGAGAAAGGAACGAATGGCATATGTGCTGGGGTCCGCACAGCTCGTGATGACGGACCGTTCATGTAAGTAGTCTCAAGTAAGTAAGTAAGTATCCATCTCTTTTACCAGTGTTCTACAATTCTAGAAAAATAAAGCTTAGATTCCTAAATAATGTTTTGGCCCACTAGTCCTCCTCGCGTTGTTCAGATTTTTCGTTACTTTCTCTTATTTCCAATAAGATCAGTTAGTGAATTACTACAGAGTTGAATGGATAAGGTAGTGCATGAGGTTTAGAAGACGAATCCATTCGCAAATAGATCTTTTCTGCTATTAAATAATCCAAAAAATTTTCATCAAACTGCATTTTATAAATAGCAGTGCAGAAATTGAGATATCGGCAACGAACTACGGAAATGCGGATCACCATGCTCGAGGCCTTGGTTTTACTCTGAACGGGACCAACCAAACCTCTCACTTCTCAGGGTCGAGAAATTTGCACCAGAAAACCATCACGAAGTCGAAAATGGTTAGCATTACCCTAGTACGGCCATCGAGAATGGACGAGCTCTCGGATACGAAGAATGGATCCCAAACGCGTTCGACGACACTCATGAAAATCTGGTATCTTAACTCTTTTATTTACTGCCTTTTTCTTCTTAATGGCAGGGTATGTTGCGAAATATAACTCGTACGAATTGCTGAGATATTTGCAAAACTCCGGACCACAGGTGTATGCAATGGAGAACGAACACGCGCTGTTGTCCTTACCGGGGAGCAGCGCACTTCACCACTGCACCATCCGGGTTGACCCGGATTATTGTTTGCAAAATTTTTGCAAAATCTTGTATCCTCAAACAACAACCGAACTACACGCAAACTCATGGGTTTTCTTGGATGATGAACGCGAATAAATGAATCGAATTGAGCAATTACTAAGATCAGCACAATATATATATATATATATATATGTTGATGGTTCACGTAAAAAAAAATTACTATAAAGTGTTAACGACAAAGCACTCGCTTTGATCAATAGCTTTATTTCCTACAAGGATAAAGACTAAAAGATAAGTCTTTAGTGTTGACCAGTGCCTTAGGGATGCGCTATGCATCCTACTTCACCGAGCTCCATAGAGGTGCTCGAATTACAGAGGCTGAAGTATGTGACAAGTTACTGTTTTGGCCACACAAGCAATTCTGGCACCAATTTGCTGACGTCGGAAAGATTGAGGCCTTGATTCACGCCCATGAGACATGGGTGAACTAAGGGCCCTGTATGTAAAATATAACCAAAATGATCCTGAGATATGAGTAACACTCAAAACCTCATATGCGCTTCAAACTCGCAACCATTCTTTCCAGGAAGTCATGTCTTACCAACTACACCAACCGTGACCTTTGTTATCCTTTCTCTCAGCCATTTTTTGGTCGTAACTGTGTTAGAAGCAATCACCGATCAATGAAAATGATCTAAGGAACACAAATCGAGATTGGACTGAGCTAAACTGCACGTGCAGTTAAAATCACAGCGTTTAACTTTTTCAGTGGTTGCTTATAACACCTTTAGAGTAAAAAACTGGCTGAGAAAAAGGAAAGGCGAGGGCCTTGGTTGTTGTGGTGGACTGTACGTGATCCCCCGTAAAGTGTAATGGTAGGTTCGAAACGCGATTGAGGTTCCGAGTTTCACCCATATCTCAGCATCACTATGGTTGTATTTCAGTCATGTCCAACCATGAAATAAACGAATGGGAGTAAATAAGAGCAAACATTGTGATCTGTGTGTATTACAGCACACCAGTAAGCTTTGAACTAGTCGCACCTTTAATAATGGTAGAGGATGGGAATAATTCCGGTTTGCAATTTATATAAACCGACGATTTAAAGTGAAGTTTTTCTCTAGCAAGTGTAAACAGTTTATTATTTAAAAGCATGTGATAAAAATGAATGACTGTACACAAGGGAAAACCGTAAATGACTAACAAACCATAACAGTCTTAAATCATTGGCGTTTCCGAGAATTCGGGAAAGAACTGCTCAACAAAGTCCTTGTTAAAAATTGGCGTGAGATGCAAGCCGTCAGCCCAATCTCTGGCCAGTGGTCTGTTCATAATACTTGGGTCGTCTCCCATTCCTGGGAAGTAAAGCATATCCTCAATTGATTTCGTCATTGTTAATGGCAGTTTGGAAGAAAAGCGTAGTGATCGACGTTGAGTAGAGTGTGGAGTGGCGAATTGATGAGCATAGCCATTATTACATATATTGTCATGCTGAATAAAAAAATTGTTCGTCATCAGTGAATTTGAAAATGAAGATAGTGTGGTGGTAGTGATTTTCTGGTCAGAAGCATTCTGATGACGGCTGGACATTGTGATAAGAAGATCGACTACTTCAGGATTAATGATGTCGGTTAAAATCTTTTGATATGGCAGCGTTCGCATGGTGTCGCGTGGAAATGAACATTGCAGCGTTGACAGCAATGTCGACGAAATCGCCTAAAATATAAAAAGTCCTGGGTGTTCCGTGCTATCAAAAATTTATTTTATGTAATAACAGACTTTTCACAAGTTTTGTAAAATGCTAAGATTTGTCAACTAATTGGAATCGCCTACCTTAACTTCGTACAATTGAGCGATCAAATTTGCCATAAAATTGGCTGCTGAGGCAGATGACTTAGACCGCGATAACTTTATCTCCCGGAACATCAGTTCATGAAGTGACTCTTGGAAGGCGGAGAGTTGCGAACCAAAGGTATTGGAGAGTTTACTTCGATCTGAACTAACCTTTCTATCTCCAGCATAGCGCACGAGACATTAAAGAAAGCTCTGAAAGAGTTCTTTAAAAGCGTAGAAAAACGTAGATACATAGCACATTTGCAGTGTCTCCTCGCCGTAGCAAGGCGATGTTCGTGAACGTAGTACTCGAATTAGCGCAAAATGCTCATTTTCAAGCATGGTTACCAAGGCTTGGAAAAAGTTACGTAATGTGGTGGAGGTCAAGAGGAGCACAATCGTAAGGTGGCAGTCCTAAGTTCACTCTAGCAACTGACTGCGATTATTGCCTGACAGCCCACTTTGATAAATTTCTTCGGATTCCTAAGAAGCCTCGTCAATGAACCACATACCTTTCAGAAGTGAAATTTTTTTTCAAAACATTTTTCAAATATACCAGCCGTGACTACTGCCAATGTACGAATCATGGAGTACTCGATAGGTGACAGTGAGAATGATTTCAGACGTTCGCATAATGATGAGAAATCCAATAGCATGGAGCTTTCTCTAGAGATAATTGAAATACCGAGGAAATTTTAAAATTACAACTAGTCTCATTGAAAACTATGTCACTGTAAAAAAAACCACAACGATGCTGAGATGTAACTATTTTAACGCTGAGATATTAGCAAAACTCCGGACTGTAGGTGCTTGCGGTGGGGAACGAACGCGCTATTGTCCTTTCCGGGGAGCAACGCGTTCACCACCACACCATGTGGGCCTTCGTTCCCCACCACAAGCACCTGCGGTCCGGAGTTTTGCAAATACCTCAGCATTATAATAGTTGTATTTTGCAAAATACTCTCCCGTTAAAAAGAATAGGCAGTAAATAAAATGGTTAAGATGCTGAGATGTTTGCAAAACTCCGGACTGCAGGCATCTGCGGTGGAGAACAAAAGCGCTGTTAACCATTCTGGTGCCTAACGCGCTCACCCCACACCATGCGGGTCCTTCGTTTCGTCTATCTCTCGGCCGTGTTATTGACCTTCAGGTGCCATCAACAATCACCCATCAACGAGATTGATCTGGGAAAGCACTAATCGGCATTGAAGCCAGTTAAGTTGAAGCTGCAGTATAAATCACAATGTCGTTAATTTTTATTTACAGCCTATTAGTTTTTAATGGCAAATGGCAAAGTATTACGTGAATTATAACTATACTCTAAACAGCCCAAACGAGAAAGAGACAGACGAAGGGAAGGACTCGCATGGTGTGGTGGTGAACGCGTTAGTCCCCGGAAAGGGTAACAACGCGTTCGTTCCACACCGCAGACACCTTCGGTCAGGAGTTTTGCAAATATCTCAACATCGTTGTAGCTGTATCTCGCAAAATAACCTACCGTAAAAAATTGTAGTTGGCAGCAATTAAAGAGTAAACATTATAAAAATTGTTAATCTTATCGTGTAATCAGTCGACAAGTAATCATTATCTTACAGTTGATATCCATGGAGCGATTCTACGAAGTCGTCAATGTTGGTTGCTGACTTATTGGTAATAATTTGAGCCATTTGATTGAAAACATTCAATGGAATGAACGTAGAACTGATTAGTGCACACTGTAATTACAATAAGTTGTCTTCTGTGGCAATACGGATAAGAAATATTCAGCGTTGATCAATCTACTAGGGATGCGCTTTGCATTGGACTCCATCCACAGCATTTTGAAGCTGGTCGGATGTATATTTGGTCCATGCAATGAATTATGGTGTCCTAGCGATGTATCACGTTAGTCTTTTTATTCTCCGAGACAAATCTGTTAACATTTTGCCCACTCCAGAGGGATAAAGGACTTGATTGACCTGTAGCTCCGTATCCAAACAATGACCATAGGTGTACTGCTGCTTAACACTAACCACAATGCAAAATTTGTTACAACAGAGAAATTTTTGCATCTTTTAACTTTACTAAATTTTTCAAAGCACATTTACGAAGAAGAACAAGAGTATGCATGAAATATTTAGCTTACGCCGTGATGTAACAGGTGCAACCACAATAACACGTTATCACAACTTAAGAAGAATTTTCCCTTCCGACTACTTTGTTATTTCCACAGTCTTAAAAGATTTTCTTCCCATGGAATTTTAAGGTAGCCGTGCACGAACTTTCCCAAGTCCACTCAACATTCAGTCGCTAGCTGTTGTGGATCCGAGAGAAATTACTACCTTGAGACTAACACTAGGACAGTGGCGGATCCTAACATAGCTTTCCTCTCCGGTGGGTTTCTCATAAATATTTCGAAATCGGCGTTAGTTTGGGAGACTGTACTGGAGAATGAACCCAACTGTACACTGCTGTCTGAAACACTGCAACACATTCTAGCCACATTGAGGAATGAACTGGTGGATTTCTCACAAGCCACAGTACAAAGATGGTTAATCGCGATGGGCAGTTTATTCGACGTAATGAAGGACAGGTTATAGTACCTTTCATGGCAAGTGGATGCACAAATTCGTACACACAAACGAGATGATTCTACCTTATCTTCAATTGTGGTTTTTTGCCACGAATCTCTATCGATGATACCAACTACGCCGTCTATAAAGTCAACAGATGCGATAACTTTTTGGATTGATAGAAATTCTCTATTGAGGTCTTGCTTTGGTGATGGCGTACTCGGAGCCTAAAATCGGCAAATAAAAAGGCCTTTGTCAGAGTTATTCTTATTAAACAAGGATTCGATGACAAACCTTGTTCTTTCTGGCCAGCATTCGATCAGCAATAAGGCTTTTCAGTGAGAAATTCACTACACTTCCATAATTACTAACAGCAAAGGACTGCACATCATTCTCAACTGCGCACAACTCACTCAGAAGCTTCCTAAACGATTATGGCTTCTCCATTCTTTATACTTTTAGCTGTTTTCTTCGAGGTGCTAATTAGTAACGGCGATTTTAACACTCTCGCAACGACATTTCGCGCTTTTGTGGAGTGAACAATGCCTAATTTCTCGTTCCGTCCACTCTAACAGTTATAGGTGTCACGCCACTTCGGCAGTACATATGTAGGTCACCTCTCGCTGCAATTCCTCTTTCATAAATCGGCTTTTCTCTGCGTTTTGAAGTGATTTCTGCGGCCCTCTTATCCTACGTATGCTCCATATTTCTCTATATAGCTTGCCATATTTCCTGATGCGAATACAACTTTAATGCATGGAAAAAAACACTCGTTCACTGTGCGATCATGCTCCTGTTAGCATTTAATGAAGTTATATAAGTTCTCCAAGAAATATTACGATATTTATTACCCTTCGTTTTAATCTCCTCTCAACCAAAACGATACTAAAGACCACCATGGGCGATTGCAAATTAGAAAAGAACGAATTGCTTCTCAAAAATGATGCAGTACCCTGAATGCGTTGTAGGCTCTTCGGGGCAGAGCCATTTCTGCGCCTCTTCACTAGTGTTAAAGAAGTACTAGTTCAAAGTTTGAAGCACAAATAGACGGAATATAGCAGGACTTTTTCTATAGTAACGGTGTACTTCAGAGCTATGGAACACTTCGTTTGAAGTTTCAGAAAAAAGGCACGACGCTTTTTCTTCAACTAATCTTAACACTTGAAAGATGCTTTAAAAATTCGTTTTGTCAAAGGTATTGCTTAGACTTTCTATAAACATTCGGTCACCATTGATCACTAAAAAACCTCGAGCTTCCGTGTAAATGAGAAATCCAATCAATTGCGTCGCCAGAAGCTGAAAACGTTTTACCAATACTCTTCTTCTTCATCACTAGTGATTTCTTGCAATGAAGTTTCTCAGACTCTTTTTTGCGGTCTGGTCGGACATCTAAAACATGCTAGTAAGATTATCAACGAGTTCTATATGATCTATTCCCTTTCAGCAGAGGAAAAAGACTTCACTGACGATCTGGATTCATCCCAACCAATAAGCATTTTCTGAATCTGCAGTAACGACATGAGTTCCGTTCGTCTGAAAGAAAATTGTTACGTAGTAAAAGGATAAAAAAGTAAAGTTCTCGGCGTTGATCAATCTCTGGGGGATGCGCCTTGCCTTTGACTTCATCAAGCATCGTTGGAGGTGATCGAGCGCATATCTGGCTTTTACAATGACTCGCGGTGGCCAATCGGTGTATCGACCCAGTGCTGCTATCCTCCCAGACAAATATGGTACCAACTTGCCGACCCCAGAGGGATAGAAAACTTGGTGAGTCATGGGCGCGGAGATCGATTTCACGTGTTTCACAGTGGCGCCTCCAACCACTGCACCACACGCGCCTTATGTTGTTACGTAGTAGAGAATGAAAAACGGTGCTAAAAATAGCTACAAATATGCTTTTCATGTTTTATATAGGCATAATTATTGTAGATGACATTTTTTCCATAATATGAGGAAAAAGTTGTTTTTTGTTAAACGTTTACCTGAATCTTAAATAGTACAAAACAGAAAATTAACTTCATTGAGATGTGTTAAATTATCTTTCACCATTTTCCTGACCAATTACAGAACTTACTGTCAACTAACTAGATGCTACTGTTACTATCATTATTCTGGTTGCTGTTCTAAAAAAGCTTTAATCCGAAGCCAGCAAACCTCTCTCTAGTCTATGGGAGCCTGAGATGGTCTGCTTATGAAGACCTGAATACGCCCTATAACGGATGTCTAGGATTCGAAGTAAAACTGTGCTCGACTAACTCCTACTACGTTAACGAAGACAGAAAACACAGCTTTAATCCGCAACCAAATCCACAGAAAAGTCCAACCACCTTCATGACTGATGGCGAATCCAGGCAACTCCATTAAGTCATAACGCTCCACTACCGTAATTCGTGGTTGGCTCCCTCTTATCTCTCTTATCTAACCTCACGAGCGGTTTTCCGTCCGCTGTTTTCTAGTTGTTTGCGAATAAAAAATTACTGTTCTACAACTTAACGGTTTTGAGGTGTAACCGAAGCAGAAATATGGGAGAGAGTTTGCCCTATCGTTTTGTGAGTTTATAAATGATATATATTCTACACCCAAGACCTACTTTCTATTAACCTCGGTATTAATCAAGTAATTCTTCATAATCCTGCTGATCAAACGCGAGGTATTATTTCTATTCTTCATTCACGAATAAGCTGACGTTTCGGCGAATTTCGCCTTCCTCAGATCAAGTAGACGGCATTCGGCCAAACACCTCCATAACCAAACAAAGAAACTCTAAACCAAGATTTCAATCACATTGAACACAGCTTTGCACCCTCACCGCTTTCTATGAGGCTTTCACTGAGCATGTTGCGTGAGGACCAACCGCAAGGAATTCACTTGCAAGCGTAATGTGCCCTTCCCATCAGAATAAGAGGCTTATGTACTGCCCAATATCGCGTGTGCTAATAAGGCATTCTTCCCTGCAGTTAATTTTCGGATTTCTAGGGTTAATCCAGAACGCCTCGATAATTTTCGCGCTTGTGTTCTCGATTCCTGTGCGAGAATCGTGACGCGTACTTCAAAGTCCACCTCGTTATGTCTCTGGGTCCCATGCGTGCCTAGCGGGGTATTTGGTTAACGTTTGCCGACTAGGTGTTTTTTTATGCAAACAGAGGGATACGCCCGTTTCGCCAATGTTTCCGTCTCCGCACGTCTTACAGGAAATCAGGTAAACTATACCCGAGCTCATATAATCACCGTGTCTACCACTGGGGTAAATTATGCAATTTTGCGTTGCACATAGACGGTCACATAGGCCTTTACGAACTGGCTGGCGCCTAAGATTACTCGGTAGTGTTTCACCTACGTTTACCGAGTACACTAGACACACCATTCCTAATCTTTTATAGCTGCACCTACATCATTTGAGATGAAGGGTAGGATAAACGTATGCCAAGTGGAAGAAGTGCGAGACGAAGAAAAACTTTTGTGCTCAGTGTTTGGAGGAGCGCCTCTGGAGGAGAATAGTGGGTAGGTCAGTGTGGATTTGCAACTCTATTAGGCCTAATGTTAAAGTAACTTTGCGGAGAAAATTCAAAAACCTCTTGAGTAAGTCGCCTATCACGGCTTCAACGGTACAAAAACACCGCCAAAGAAGATCAAACGTGTCACAGTAGAATAAATAATGCGCAAAAAAATTCAAGGCTAACCGTGTTAGGTAGCATGATTATCTCTGACGGGGCTGTCTCGGTATTAAAATTGGGACCTAGTTTCTCACCATCTGAACCCATTTCTAAGGTAACCTTGCGTAAGGTCGCATGTGGTTTACATGAACTTCAAGATAGACTCCGCAAAAAAGTTACAGATAAAATGCAAAATAGGTGCGAGCAACACCAAGTGGGGGCCCTACCAATAGCACGATTTCCTCAGCCGTTCATTAGACAACAAGACCCCAATAATGAAATTCATGTTAAATTTCGGATGTTTACGAATGAAACTGTCAAAGTCCTTAATCACTATCGCGCGAAAAGATACAGCTCAAACCTCACTCCAGTGCAAAAAAGTGGTATGCGAGAGGTACGAGAGCTGATAAGGTTGAAAACCATAAGACTATCCGTTAGTGATAAGAGTGGAGTGTTTGTCGCAATTCTTCATTAGTTAGATGTGGAGGTAACGAAAAAGCGTCTTGAAGATGCTTCGCTTTATCGCCCATCATCTGAGGAGCTTAAAAGTAAATACCGAAAATTGAACCACGATTGGGCTAAAATCACAAGGGCTGCTGGTTTAAAACCCTCAGTTATCTCTCAACTAAAAATTGACTTAACAACATTTCCCATCTTGTACTTGCTTATAAAAACTCATAAGTTAGTATCAAGCGATGATCTTGCGTCTACCGATCCATCATTATTTAAGGTTAGACCTATCATTAGCTGTGTAAACGGGCCAACGGACAGGATAACATGGTTTTTAACCCTAATATTTAACCAGTTGTTGAAACACATTCCAGCCCATTCTACCCAAATGTTTCTGGATCGTCTACGTACTGCGCAGCCCAGCAGCGCGTACGCGATGGAGTCCTTCGACGTTACTGCCCTTTATACAAACGTGTCGAATGACTTCGCAATGCAAGCCATATTCGAACTCCTCTACAACAAGAAAAAGAAATAAACATGCATGGCTTCAAGATAGAGCAGTTGATGGCACTCTTAAAAGAATGCTTGAGCTGCTCAATCTTCAGATGGTCCGGAAAGTACTACGCTCAAATAAGAGGGTTGGCAATGGGACAACGACTGGCTCCAAGCCTTGCCATTGCATTTATGTCTAAGGTGGAAGCACCGGTGACTGATCTCGGGCCGCTAATCTACTGTAGATATGCTTTGTCCTTTACACAACACAAAAGGAAATAGACAAATGTTTCGAATTGTTAAACGCACAGTCAGAGTATATCAATTTCACCCGAGAAAAGCCGAAAAAAATTGCTTCCATTCCTTAACGTACAAATTCACCTGTCAGAAAATGGCAACATTACAAAGTGGTACCGAAAGCCAAGTAATAAAAACATCTTGTATTCTTTCTTGATAAGCTTGCACGAGGTTGATAAATATATTTATTTTCGGCTAACGTTTCGACGTCTTCGTCTTCCTCAGAGCCGGTGATCCGAGTCGATGGTCCATGCTTGTTGTTCGCCTCGACGTTGCGTCTTCGCCTTCGTGTCGAGCCAGATCTTCCTCAGTGAGCCATCTTCTCGAATGAGGCATCCTCACTCAGTGATGCCCTTTTATACACGATGNTGATGGTGGATGTATAATGACAATGTCCGGTGGTAACAACTTGTATTTCTTCCGGACATACATCATTGCGCACATCGTGCAGAGGTCGGTGTGTTATCAGCTAGCACAAAGCGTAGCGAAAAAAAAAACATCTTGGTTCATTACCTCTCCTCTCACCCCTCTCACACGAAAAGAGCACTTATAAGGAACATGTTTCGAACACCAACCAACGTGCGGACGGGAAGAGAGCAGAGAGAGGAGCCCCGGAACTTGGCACGGCAAAGAGCCATTTCTAATGGCTACGAAACTGTAGCTCAGGATAGGTATAGGAGAAATTCTAGACCTCCAAACGACAACTCTAGCGATAGAGGGGTGCCGTTTATCCTACCCTTCGTCTCAAATGATATAAGAACAGCTACAAAAGGCTGCTTAAGAAGGGCGGGTTTAGAGAATTCGGTAAGCGTAGGTGAAATACCACCGAGTAATCTTAAGCGCCAGCTATTTCGTAACCGCCTACATGACCGTCTATGTGCAACTCAAAATTTCATAATTTACCCCAGTGGTAGAGACGGTGATTGCATGAGCTCGGGTATAGTTTACCTGATTTCCTGTAAGACGTGCGGAGACGAATACATTGGCGAAACGGGCAGACCCCTCTGTGTCCGCATTAAAGAACACCTAGCCGGCAAAGATAGACCAAATACCCCGCTAGGCACGCATAGAACCCAGAGACATAACTGGGAGGACTTTGAAGTATGTGTCACGACCCTCGCAAGCGAATCAAAAACACAGGCGCGCAAAACTCTCGAGGCGTTGTGGATTAATTCCAGAAATCCGAAAATGAAGCGCAGGGAAGAATGCCTCATTATCACGCGTGATATAGGGCAGTATATAACACTGCTATTCTGATGGTAGGGGCACAATATGCTTCCATGTGATTTCTGTGCAGTTGGTCTTCACGCGACATAATTAGTGGAAACCTCATAGAAAGCGGTGAGTGTGCAGAGCTGTGTTCAATGTGATTGAAATCTTGGTTTAGAGTTTCTCTGTTTGGTTATGGAGGCGTCTGGCGGAGTAGATTGCTATCAACTTGACCTTTCCAGGCTCTGTGGAAGGCGAAATCCGCCGAAACGTCAGCTTATTCGTGAATAAAGAATAATAACACCCTGCGTTTGCTCATCAAAAATACGAAGAATTGCTTGATCAATGCCGAGGTTAATAGAAAGTCGGTCGTGGGAGT